TTTTTTTTTTAAAAAGAAACTTTAATATATTAGATCAAAGGACTCTTTGTATGACAATTAAAACTGTGAATATAATACTTTAGTATTTTATCACCAAAAGTTTTTAATACTAAAAATTCACTTTTATATTTTAAATGATTCTAGGTTATACAATATAGATGTGATAATTTATCACTAGATTTAATGTTAGCAATTTGTTTGACAATACGGGCAGGATGTAATCTATCTTATTCAACACTATATTCCTCTGCCTAGTACAATGTTGGTTACATAGTATGTACCTTATAAAAATTTATGGAATGTACCTTATATTTCTTCATGAACAAATTTTAAATTTTACACTAATATATATTAATACCTGAATACTACATGATCATATAAACAAAGGTAAATCGTATTCCTTCTAAAATTAGATCTGCTAAGTGATTTCTCTACGAAGTTCTCTTATCCTTTATTATAATTATTTAGTCAATAAATATCTAGTGGTACTTGTTAATATAGAGTACCATCTATAGATATAAAAGGCTAATATGCAAAATGTTCCCACAGGAGTTCGACCGGGAGACCAGGAGTTCTGTCGCTCACTATGACATGCGCTGACTACCAGGGGTTGGCGTGGAACAAAGGAAGGCCCCGGCTGGCAGCTGGGGAAGGGAGGCCCCAGCTGGCAGCCAGAAGAAAGTCCCTGGCTGGCAGCTGGAAGGCCCCATCGACCCTGATAGCCGGCCAGGCCTAGGGACCCTACCTACACATGAATTTTGTGCACCGAGCTTCTAGTATTATATATTGGCATCCAAGTAGGGATATAGTGCTGTTACAAATGCAGTTCTTTCCCTTCAATATACATCCTCAACAAATCTACCACCACTAAGAATGTTATTGTCCCTGCAGTCCAAGTTGAAAATTTTGATGTTATCTTTGACACTGAAAAAAGGATATTGGTACATATCATTAAACACTGTAAGGCTACCTATATTAAAGTTGCCAATTTAAAATTTTCCTTCCTATAAAATGGTTCCAATATTTAATCGTGTTTCAACTGGAATAACCTAATATTCTAAGATGCCTGCAGTATTATATCCCATATACTTTATCAATGCAGTAATTTTAAAAAGAGTTCTTAATTTAAAGAAAGGGAAAAAACAGATTATCTTAGCTACAGATGCAATGTAAGTATAAACTCCTGACATTTGCTGCCACCTTGTGACTGAGTATAAAATAATCTTCATCGTCTTGGATTAAGAGATGAAAAGTGATTTTTCCCCAAGTAGTTAATGTGAAAGTTTGCAGAACTAAATGCCCAAAATATTACAATATTTTCCTGGTTTAAAAAGTTATAGTTTAGGCTACAACATAGATGCAGAACACTATAGTTACCTATACTAATGCATTTCTACATTAAGCCCCCAAAAGTCCATTTACCTGATATCTAATTACTAAAAGAATTGTTAATAACAAACTAAATGTAAAAGATAATCAAGTCCTGGGCTGGTAATCTGCTTTTTTATTCTATAATCACATACAACTCACAGTCCTTGCATTGAGGGGTTAGATAGTCTCTTTATTTGGTCATGAATAGAGAAGAAAGTAAGGGAATCTTTCCATGTTCATTTGTTAACTAGTTAAATGGGTTGGGGAGATAATTCTATTATTCAGGAACATTATCCAATTGCTATTATGGTTTATATTTCACCACCCTCCTTTTCCTTTCTTCTAATAAATTCCCAATAAGGCTAAAGTACCTAAAAAAAAGGAAACTTAAAATCTGACCACAGAATGCAACTACAAAGGATAACCCAAAAGAGAATAAGAGGATTTGCTTTATTTAAAAGATCAGTAATCAAAGTAACTAAAGACTTAATCACCTCTTCACTTGGGTAATGAAATAATCAAAAGTAGAATCAACTGTGGTTGGGAAATGAATGATAAAGAAATGGTTCAGAAATGTTTTTGAAAGTCTCTGATGTTTTTATTATTACAGAACATGCTCTATTTAGAACTGACTTTCTGGAATCAATTTCTTGAATTCACAAAGTCCCCAACATATAAATAGGTTGTACACACTTTTCACTAAATAAAACAAAACTCATGAAACTACTATAATAGGTTATTCATTTATTCAACAATTAATAAAACCAGATATTCTGGCCCCAGGTGGCTCAATTGGTTGGAGCATCATTCTGTACATCATAAGGCTGCAGGTTTGATTCCCAATCAGGGCACATATCTAGGTTGCAGGTTCGATCCCAGTAAGGGCACATATAGGAGGCAACTGATGAATGTTTCTCTTATTTGATGTCTCTCTCTCTCTTGCCACCCCCCAACTCCAACCTTCCTCTCTCTCTAAAACCAATAAAACTATGTCTTCAGGTGAGGATTTAAAAAAACACACCCCCAGATATTCTGCAATGTAAGGTAATACGCTAAGTACAGTGAGCTCAGTAAAAGGCTACCTGCCCATAGAAACTTACTAAATAATGAAATAGCATGTAAACTAGTTTCCCTCAAAACTAAATGGTGAGTACATTCAAATAGTAGTCAAGAATAAACCTATTCAACTAAAATAGCTTCTATTTACAAGAAAAACAGTAGGAGAAAGTCATATTATAGATAGGAAGCATGATACATTCTAACTTATTCAAATGATATCAAAACATTATCCTAATCCATTCTCTTTCTCTCTCTCTCTAATAGGATCGTGGAATAGGCATTTTGAGTTAAAGTCCATTCCTTGGATTCTTATTTTTCTGCCACTGGGTCAAGTTTCATAGGATACTTAAAATAAAAAGAGCCTGGCTCTTTGATTACACTGTAAGACTGGGTCTTATCTGTGAAATGTTTATTTAATAGTATTTAGTATTTATTTAATAATACTTAATAGTAACTGGCACAGAGTAGGCACTCAATAAATGCCTGCTGAATGACTGAATTCAGCCCAAAAGCTTATAGATTAACTATGTGGCCACAAGTACTCAATTAAAGACAGTTCCATGAAGACAATCAAAATGAATGCTTAGAAGCATTTCTGAAGCTCATGGTTAATTAACTTAATCTTGGAAACAAAAACATTAATAACCTGAAATTTTATGCAGTTTTCTTCATCTTTAGCATAAACAGTTTTGCAAGTAGCAACAGCTCAGAATCAGGAAAATAAGCATGCATACCACAGCACAATACCTTTACCTTTCAATTTAACTGCCAAATCGACATAGGAGTGCAAAAATGCCATGGATACTGCTTGCCCTACATAAAAATAAAAAATCCAACAGATATTACAACATGCATATCTCCAAAGCATTCATACCTATACATAATAAACAAAGAGATTTATGGGGTTTCCCAAAATTGTTATTTCTTAATAAGTATACAAACTCAAAATTGTTTCAAACATTTAAGAATGTTCCAAATACAACAAATTTTCTGCATTCATAATGGAGGGAATATAGTTGAAGGGCTATTATTTAAAGAGAAAAGCAATATATTTCCTATCTATACTAATAAAAGGGTAATATGCTAATTACACCAGGAGACCTTCCGGATGTCCTTCCAGACAAAGTCATGGTGGCGGGGCTGAGGCAGAGGCGGTTAGGGGTGATCAGGCCAGGAGGTGAGGGCAGTTGGGGGTGATCAGACTGGCGGGGGGGTGGGCAGTTAGGGGCAACCAGGCAGGCAGGCAGGTGAGGGATTAGGAGCCAGCCGTCCAGGATTGTGAAAGGGATGGACAGTTAGGGGTGATCAGGCCAGCAAGGGAGGGCAGTTGGGGGCGATCAGGCAGGCAGGCAGGCAGGTGAGCAGTTAGGAGCCAGCGGTCCTGGATTGCGAGAGGGATGACCCCAATTGGAGAGGGTGCAGGCCAGGCTGAGGGGCACCTCCCCCCTCTTGTGCACAAATTTTGTGCACCAGGCCACTAGTAAATCTATAAGAACTGTTAACATATTAAAAGCATTAGCTTGAATCACAATATTTCTAAGTTAACAAGCTGAACATCTAGTTTAATCATTAACCTTTAATTTGTAAGTCAGATATATATAATCAGTTTTACAATCCCAGAATCAGCTAAAAGTAAATGTTTCATTATGTGCAGCTTACCTGGGACATAAGAAAGCTATGTCATCTTCCACTGCGCAATATGCAGAATGCAAAAATAAAACCTGCCTATTTTAATGTCCTAATATGTAATATAGTCTCCTTGAAAGATTCATACTCACAGCCAGCATAGAAAAGCACTATGCTGTCGGAAGCCATTACTGTCGCGTTAAATGTCTCTCCTGTTAGTTCCACTGTGAGTTCCAAAGGCAGCTGTCTCTTCCTGTCTCTGTAAACACTTTCTGCCACTTCATCATCTTGCATTCCTAAAACATTTGAAAAGAACGTAATGTATATATAAAAGTGTAATTAAAAATAATTAAACTCTTTTCCCAGGTGAGCATATGAAAATTTGGTACTCTATAAAAACTTTTGAATTTGCACTATTTTATTAAAGATGCATATTGTTTAGAAAACTTTCTAGTTATCTGGCTTCCTACCCTAAATAACTCTGAGGTGCTTCCTGACTCAGAAACTGTGACGTTTTAGTCAAGTCCAGAAGCACTTATTTAAACTTGTCTGGAAATAATATGAATATGATATTTTGTTTGTAATAAAATATTAATTTATAATAAAAAAGTTCAGTGTTTATTTAGCTTTCACTATATGACAAGCACTGTGATAGATACCAGGGAAAGTAGGAGACAAAAACAGATATATTCCCTGACCACATGGAGAATCTTTCTACAGAAAGGTCAGACAATAACCTCATCACTGAATAAAGACATCATTATAAATTGTGATCAGTTTAAAAAAGGAAAAGGATACAGTGAGAGATTATAGCAGGGAGAGTTCAATTGGGAGATCCAAAGTCTCCCATGTAGAGAATCCACAAAAGAATGTCTGAAGCAAGAAGAAGAATATAAGCATATGCAAAGGTTCAGAGACATAAAAGAGCTTAGTATATACTAGATACAGAAGGAAGGCAAAACTGACTAAAACAAGATGAGTTGGAGCAATAAATGTATGAGAAAACTCTGGGCTGGCAGTGGCTGGATCATAAGAGACCATATGAGCCAAAAATTTTGGCTTTTATTCTAAATGCATCAAGTTATGGTGGATTCTGAATATGTAAAAACCTATCGTTAATTTAGAGACAGATAGGCTGGCTGACCAACCAACCGTCCATCCATCCGCCCATCCATCCATCCATGTATGTGGTAAAAAACACATTTTAAATCCGTATATATTCTGTTGGAGTTTGTATAAATTGTATGGTAACACTGAAGAGGCATCTAACTTGATTAGAGAGACACTAAAGCTTCCTAGAAGAGTTGACATAAGCTGAATAGAGCATGACAATTGCAAGTACAAAACTGACTACATATCTGATGGTATTAAAGATTACTGGGTTTTAGATGTAGTAATAGCAATAATTATGTTAACTTTAAAAGAAATCCTTATATCTCTGAAATACACAGGGAAACGTTAATGAATGAAATTATATATTTGGTGTTTGCTACAAAATAAGGGATGGTAGTGATTAGAACAGGATAGCCATGGGTTAATGGTAGTTGGATGGGGCCAGATAATGGATACCAGGAGATTTGTTTTAATATCCTGTCTACTTTATAAGTTCATAATTTCCTGTAATAACACAGTAAAAGAAAGGGAGAAAGTGAGGAAGACAATATAGTTGGAGAACTAAAGTATTATTTTCCATATAACTTCTAATACTCTACAATAAAATACTAGATCTAAATTTCAGTACATCTCAGCAATTTTCAACTGCATGATGCTAGCCAATTCATAACTCTCTGGGCCTCAATGTTCAAATCTGTGAAACATAAGAGTTGCACTACATTAACTTTAAGGTACTTTTATGTTTTTTATCTTTATTATTGAAATTCTTACAGATGTCCCCATTTTATTCCCCATCCATCCCATACCCACACCTGCCCTCAGGCCTTCACCACACTATTTTCTGTGTCCCTGGGTTAAGGTACTTTTAGATACCACATTCTATGACACTAAAAAGTTATGCCCTCAATACTCAAATTGATTAAAAAGCTATTCTCTTATTTCCTACAGGGTGGAACAAAAGGTTTATAGTTGTGTGTATGGAAAATAATATAATAATAAATAATACAAGAATAAACTCTTTCATGTACTCAAAACTGTAAGCCTACTTTTGTCCCACCCTGTATATAATGTTTTTCATTTTCCTGCCATTCCTTTCTTATTTCCTAATCCATCCTTTCTTCTCTATCTTGTTCCAAGACCTCCTATCCCTCTTTTTTGGTCTCTCTCTCTTAATAAGCTACCCTCACTTGTAAATTTCCTCATTCCTCAGCTATACCTTTCACCTATCCATCAATACACACACTCTTTTAAGTCGTACATGTTTAATTATTTTTTTCCATATTGTCCTTTTGTAGAACTCAATCCATTTTATTCTGATTCATCCTGTGCCCATTTCCTCTGAAGGACATTTTTCTACATGGTAACAAACTCTTTCCTAACCCTCACCTATCATTCCTATACAATGGGGAATGAAACAAGATGGGGAAATTATTTATATGGGCGTGACATCACACAGTATCATGAGCCAATATGCATTACAAACATAGGAAATTAAGACCAAAAAAAAAATCACAACAAAACAACAAACAAAAGGCAGAGCTATAAAAGAAATACGAGAACTAGGCCAGGGAAAGAAGGCAGGTAGAGAGTTGTAGAAAGGGAAAGCAACACAGAGGGCAAACTAAGGCCAGAGAGTCAGGAAGCAATAGGGGATGTGAAAACATGGAAAGCTTGAAACAGGCGACACCTACTGAGGAAAGAAATCTTATTAAACTGACACTGTGCAATTCTCCTGACTCTGAAGACTAGAATATATGAATCATGATAGGAAAACAGCAGGGAGCAAGAGACCAGAACACAGGTCTATCTATGGAATGATGATGCTATAGAGGAGAACTCTGGCTTCAACAACAAGCAATTCTAACCTCTGCATATCAGAAAAGAACTAGAACATAGCTCAAACTAAGAAACTGGTTACTGGTAACAGTTAAAGCTCAGAGCCCTTATTAAATTTATAATATAAACTTTGATCATAATAATGATGGATCTCATAAAAAATATACAAATTATTTCCTTCGTGGGGTTCATAATAATAGTATTATATAAAACATTCGAGTATTTACTAAATGGGATACAAGAATGAACAAGACATAACCCCTGCCGTAGAGATAGTATAGACTAGTGAAAAAGAGAGAAATTAAATGAGAAATTACCAATAGGATTGATGCCATGAAAAATGGAATGATAATGCTCATAAATAAGATTTCAATTCAAAATGATTATTCTAATCCAGGTTCCACCACATGCCATTTATGTGACTTTGGATGGATCATTTAACTCTGCTAAAACAAACATGCTTCACCCACAAAATGAAGGTGACATCGGCTAACTCAGAGAATAACAATCAAAGTAAAGAATGTGAAGGGGAGTAGCCTTAAAAACTATAGAATACTTCAAAAATGTAAGCAATACGAGCAATAAAAAAACAGAAAGAACATGTTAAATAGAAGTATTAAAATGCTATTGAGGCACAACCACTTCAAAACTACAACTAAAAGACAAAACAGACATCATCCAGAACCACAGGAAGGCTGGCTGAGTGGAAATTCTACAACAAGAAGGAAAGAGAAAAGCACACTGAGACTCAGAGGAGGTGCAGAAGTAAAGTGCAGAGGTACGGAGGCACACGTGGAAAGGGCTGGCAACTGAGGACACGGTTGTCTTTTTCAATCGGGAGGGAGTCTCAAGCTCCCCACTGCTCTGAACTCCAGTTCCGGGCGAGTCTCTGGGGACCCAGACTCATACAGGAAGAAGCTGGACTGC